TCTATCGCCTGAGAATGACTAGATCATACAACAAAAAAGTACACAGGCGTCCACTCAAAATAGGGGACTTTGTACTTAGAAAAATGGAAGCAGTTGGTAGGGCTAATGAGTCTGGCAAACTAACTCCCAACTGGGAAGGACCCTACCGAATCTATGAGGAAGTCAGGGACGGTACCTACCGTCTGGAAACACCAGACGGACAACCGTTGCCTCGAACTTGGAATGTAGATAATCTTAAGAAATATTTCTTTTGAATGATGCAAATAGTCAAGAGCTACTTAATAAAAGTTTGCACTTACTATTCAATTTTGTACTACGAGGGGCATGCCGTCTGTACCTTTACAGTCGGCTACTCTCCATTGAGTTTTTTACTCTATCTTTAGAGGGGCATGCCGTCTGTACCTTTACAGTCGGCTACTCTCCATTGAGTATTTTACTCACAATACTTAGCTAAAAAGATAAGGGTCTGGCCGACCCTGTGCCTAACAGGCGGCTACCCTCCTTTTACTTAGCACCTACGTTCACCAAGAACTTACCAAGGCCACAGGCCGAATGATCAGACCAGGCGCCAGGCCAACTGATCAAATCTACAAAACTAATACGACCTGTCCCAACATCATAGCAGGCGTCCGACGGCATCCATCCGGATGAAATTCGTCGCAGAGAGCAGCTCCCTTTTGGGTGGAACATTGTTCTATAAACTAATTACACGGCACCTATACGACTGTCCCCAAGGGCAACCACGTAGCTGTTTTTGAGACAAGGATAACTCTATCACTAACCAAACCAGTGGTAGCAGTTGACATCTAAGTCAGATGACCGCCTGTATTACTTGGGATAAATACAAGGGGTACCTTTTGAGTTAATAGCCAACAAACGTTGGCGAATCAAGGGGTCTAGCCGACCTTCGCCGCCTGGTACCTCTACTTCTCAAACAAAAGTGACGGCGACTGAGTAACTCCAACGTTAACTCATAAGTCACTCCCTCAAATTTGGTATGGAACCTAAAAGGTTTGACTCGTCCGCCTGTTTAACAAACAGGGGCACTCAAACCCCTATTCCTAATAGGTAACCTATTGAGTTAATAGCCAACAAACATTGGCAAATCAAGGTGATCAGCCGGCTTCCGCCGCCTGGTACCTCTACTACTCAATCTAGATTGTGACGAAGACTAAGTAACTCCTATGTTAACTTAATAGTCACTCAAACTTAGTATGGAGCCTAAAAGGTATGAGTCGTCCGCCTATTTTTAACAAACAGGGGCTCTCAATCGCTACTCTTGCTAAGTTAAAAAATTATGAGTTAAAAGCCAACAACATTGGCAATAAAGGGAAACAACCGGTACCCGCCGCTTGTTTTCTCTACTACTCAATTCCTTGGCGACTAGGTAATACTCTATCTATTTGGTCAGACCACTTTCCTACTTGGTTAAATTTACAAAAGACAGGCCCGCCTGCCTAAAAAGGATCCAGACAAAATAGTTCGAATACCGATTGGATAAATGGCCGACTGATCGTCTATCCTGGAAACAGACAACCAGTCGTCCAGAGGCATAGGCGGCGTACCAACTATCCGTACCTGTCTCGTACCAGTCTGCAACGTTCGGCCATGTAAAACAGTCGGTCTAGTAAACAATTGGATATTAGATAAGGAATACTTAGACAAATTTGAAGCAAAACAAAAATTCATTAAAAATAAGCCGGTCATTAAAGACCAGCAAAATATTCAAAGCCCCGGCCCCCTGGCCGGGTAAATACAAAGCAAACGGCACGCAGGCCGTGGAAAGAATACATAAAGCTTAAGAAGGGGGCAGCTCAGTATTAGCAGCTGGCGCCTGGTCAGCACTCTTCTTGCTGGACTCGGCTTCATCTGCATCCTTTTTTGATGCCTTACCCCCAAGCGGCACAAGCGCCACTACCGGCTCCTCCTCCTCCTCCAACTCTTCCCCCAACGCCTCTTCTTCAGCAGCCGCCAGGATCTGTTGATTATATGCATCCGAGCACTGGCGGTACGTTCTTTCCCAAGAGGCAAAGTCGGCACTGGGGAAGAGGCGGCCCCAGGTCATGCGCTGGATTTGAGCGGAGTCTTCCATCATCTCCCGGACCAGCTCTTTCTTCTCTTGCTCGGCCTTTTCCGAGAGCTCTTGGGTAAGACTCTTCTCCTTGGTCACCAGGCGTTCCTTTACGTTGGCCAAGGATTTCTCCATGGCTTCGTAAGAGTACATTTTCAGGCGAAGAGGTTTCAGCTTGGCCTTGAGATTTGTGATGGTCGCCTCCAGCTCGTCATTCTTCTTCTGGGCCGCCTCTAACTGAGCCCGAACAGCGGCGGTAGCTTGCGCCTGATAATAAAGAATATCAATGGTCAGTACTTCATTTTGGGCAATTTGAAACATTGCCTTATCACAGTCAGAGGCGGCCATAGCTTTTGCATCCTTTACCTCTTTGTTTTTCCGATCAAGCGGCTTGCGAAGGCCGTTAACTCGGAGCAAGGCCTAAGTACAAAAGAACAGGCGTCAGTTTCCAAACAAAAAAAGAAAACAGGCGTCCAAAAGTTCAAATACTCAAAAATACGCTAAGTATACCTCAGCAAGGACCCCTGCAATCCCGTCAAGGTCAAGGGTGCCGACACCCCTGACCGCCTCCCTTTCAGCTGGAGGAACTGCCCTGATCATAGACTTGGCCATCTGTACCAAGTCAGGCTCCTGGGGGCCGGCTGCATCAAGCATAAACAAACGGATTAGACTTAGTAAAAAAGGAGCAAGTCTAAAATTTACAAGGACAACTTCATACCTCTAGGCGGCCCAGTTGGAGCTTTAGAAGAAGTGGCCGGTTGTTTCTCAGCCGCCACCTGTTTCCTGGCAGAACCAGGAGAGCTCCCAACAGTCGTCTTCTGGGCCTTGGGGTCCGACTGTTGGGAAGATGAAGCTCTTGGAGCACCCGTCTTAAAAAAAAAAAAAAAAAAGAAGAGAAAAGTCAGTATATGCATAAACACTCCAAAAAGAGGGTGAAAGGTTCGGAGCTCACCAAGGGTGCCCCCTTCTTGGGGGAGTCGGTTGAAGCTTGTTGCATAATAGAGGCCCGCAACATGGCCGCCGCAGTCTTGGAGGCGGTGATTTTGCTCATGGCGTCAGCTGCAAAAACAAACAGCAAAGTTAATAAAAGATAAACAACAAATGTATGAAACAACAGAGTATTCGACAGGCCGACTACCTCTTGAGCACCGACTGCTGAGGCCGCAGGCGGCCAAAAAGTACTCGTCATAGAGCCACTTGAAGCTCGGGACACAGTGCAGGGGTACTTGCTCTCGTACCCCTGAAGTAGAGTCGACCCTCGACTCTACTTTAAAGAGTCCTTTATCAAGGATCTCTTTCTTAGCCTTGGGGGGAACAGGCGGCATGCTACGGCCGCCTGCAAGAAGGGGCAGATTCCTGTTCCACCTATTGAAGCGCTTGTTCTGCTCAATGTCAGAACTCTCAATGATGAGGAAGGTGCTCCGCCAGTCCTTCCACTTGTTTGCTTTACCTCTCGTCATGAGGTAGCCCCTGTGGCTTGTCAATTGATACCAGCCGGTACCACCTGTCTTAGGGGTCCGGCTGAGATAGTTCATATGGGCGAAAGCCTCGAAGCTCGGCTCCACCCCGTGTAGTTCGCACCCGGCCACATAGCCGAGTACGTTGACCCAAGAGTTTGGGGCTAACTGCCATAACCCCAACTCATACCCATCCAAAATCCGCTGAACAGCCGGATGTAATGGGAAGCGAAGCCCTGCCTTGATGGCCGCCTCGTAGCAGCCAAAGCAGGAGCTTTCGTAACTGGAACCAGCCGGCCAGACGACTGTGTCTTCTGGATCCGGCACAAACACTAGAAAATCGGGGCCCATGGTGTGGTTTGCAATAAAGCTCTCAACTTTCTCTTGCATGGCTGTGATTCGGCCCCGAGGTACCGTGCAGTAGTAGGGGGTATTTAGCTCTCGGTAAGAGGCGGATGGTACCGCCCAATTGTCCCCTTTCTCAACTGCGTGAGAAAGCCTCGCCTCTTGCAGGCGGCTGTTTTTCTCTTCTGTACCCAAAGAAGCCTGGCCAGAAGAGCTTGACTCGGACTCGTCCTCCGACGAGTCTGAAGAGGACGACTCCTCCCCTCTCCCGGAGGGGCCCGCCTCCTCTCTTTGAAAAGGAGCAGATTTGTTAAATGTTAAATTGGAAGGGGTCACTATGACTCCCCCATAGAATTGCCGGCATCCAGGCCGCCTTGTCTCACTTCCACATCTGGCGCCTGGTCAGATGTTTCACTAATCGGCACCCTGTGAGAGGAGCCGTCTGAATTTGAGATCCTAGCTGTCTTTTTCGTTCTAGCCATCCTACTCTGCATAGACACAGATACAGTCGGACTTTAAATAAAGGGCAAAGATGGGTCCGGAAAAGGGCAGGCGGCACTCCTAGTCCTAGATTCAGCCGTCCCCGGTGACCGGCTGATCACTAACCTAGGTCGTGTCGTGTGCTTCCGTGGTGCCATTTCAGAAAATAAAAAGAAAATTAAGAGTAAGAGAACTGAGTTACCTGAACGAGTGACGGTTGATGAAGTTCTGAAAATCCTGTGCAGTCGGCTTGTCAGAACAGGCGTGAGGCAAAAAAAGTCCAAAATGTCAGAGCAAGTTCAGGGGTCCGAATGTTCTCAAATAGTTCTCAAAGTGTGAAAATGACTCAAGGCAACTCTCCCTTATATAGGCGAAGTGAGAAGGCGAAGGGTCACTTCCAGAATTCATACCTATTGAGTAACTAGGAGCAACAAACAACAGCTAATAAAATGGCTAATTTCGAACAATCATACCTATTGAGACAACAAAGTATCTAAAATGCCTAGAATTATGATCAAAATTATTACTCTAAGATGGATGAATATGTTTGAAAAGTCTATTTTTAAACTAAAGAATCATATAACTCTAATACTTGGTTCATCTGTTGCGTTAACATCATGATGACAGCATCTGAAACCAACTAGGAATCAGTGGTCATGGCGTGTCTGATCTTGCTCATCAGTAGATGTCTCGTGTGTCTTAGATTGCGAAACAGTCTCAGATGATCCTTCTTGTGACCCAAATGTCTCACCCCCACGCTTAACATTACGTGTAGTTCTTCTCCTTCGTATCAGAGGTGTATCATCCTCTTTCTCCTCTTCTTCCTGTTCCGTAGATTGTGATGCAGCAGTCGATTTTTCAGTAACTTTTGTCTCTGCCTCAGGAGGTGGCCTATTTGGCAGAACATTGCGTAGTTGTCTAGATGTTTCAGAAACAGTCTCATCATCAGACATTCTCCCTTGTAATCTTTCCACCTGATCACGCACAGTCTTTGTTAGAGTCTGAATACTAGCAGCACTATTACCTGCTGTCGATGTTTCAGGAACATCGGCGTCTGCAAGAAACGGATCGTTCAGAAGGTCAATTGCCGAAGGCCTTTCTGATGTAGGAAGCAGACACCTGTCAATGAATTTCCTAATCTTGGACTTTTTCCCTCTGTATTTTGGGGACTCTTCCCCTCTGTATAGCACTTTAGGCAGTTGACAGTTCTGAATGCTTTCGAAAATGAGCTCCTTGTTGTTTTCGTATTCGCTGTACAGCACTTCCTTGGACACTATCTGTAATAGGGTCAGCCCAAAAGAGAATATATCAACCTTCTCATCATAATCAAATAATAAATTAGTATAAGTTAAATAGAAATTATACTATTATACGGCATTACGGATCAAATACTCAAATATACAGTCACAACTCACAAGCAGTCAAGCAAAACTTCAATTTCTAGAGGATTTTTCCCCAAATCGGCTAATCAAAACCATTGCTCAGTTTTTAATCAGCTAACCATGTTTAAAAAATCATTTGGGACTAATAAATTATGAAGACTAATTAAAACTATCGTAATTAAAGATTTACAGTCAATTAGTAAACATATTATAGCATATGAAATCCAGAAGGCAGAAAACAAATAGCATATAAAATAGCATTTGAAATTCAACAATGTAACAAAAAAAAAATCCCCAAATTGAGAACTTGAGAAGTAAATTAGCAAATTATAACCGATCTTCAGCAATTTTTATATAACTATTAACATTACTCCTTTCTTTGGGTTACATTTTAAGTGTCATATATACAGTTATAGGTAGTTTAATTGACTTTATTATTATAAAATGTTGTTATAAAAATATTTTATAATAATAAAATCAATTAAATATTAGAATTAACAATTTATTTAAAAGTCAAAGATGTTAACGAAGTAGTATAAAAATAATTGTCATAAAAAAATCAGAATTAACAATTTATTTAAAAGTCAAAGATTTTATTTAAGGATGAAAACAATAATAAAAAATTAAAGTATAAAAGCTTTTGAGTAAACCCGTTTACACTAATTTTACTTTACACTAGCCGTATATATATTGTAGGATACCTTTTAAACAATTTAAGGTAACTTCGAACCTAATTTAGGGTAACTTTAATTTACAGTATTTAAGTTATACTCCGTAGATTGGAAGGTAAGCTTTAGGGATAATATAATTGAATCTAGCCTAAGGTCTGCTCTTGTGAGTTAATGACATCAATCATTTCACCTTAAAGTAAGAGTATATCTCACCTTAAAATTTTTACTTAAACTTATTGCATATCATAACATTGCGATTATTTGCGCAAAAAAAAAAAAAAAAAAAATGCGATTATTTTTAAATTGAAGGTAAAGAAAATATATTACTATGGCTTTACTTAATCTAGACTAATGCATGATCTGTGCACCCGGGTGTGCATGGTGCACCCAGTTAAACAAAATAAGCTCAGATGTTTAAAAAAGAACATTCAGGTGTTTAAAAAAAAATGTATGAGTTTAACAAAGAAGATGCATTACCAAAGAAGATAAAGACATTACAAAAATAACGTGCTAAAAACTTTATTAGAATTCATGAAAAATTACACATTAACGAAAAAAATCTTTACCCAAGATATCATTTCCCCCAAAAAAGTTTTTTGTCTCCAAAAATTCAATTTTCCATAATAATTTTAGTTTTCTCTCCAATATTATTTGCAACTTAAAATAATTCAAGATTTCATTTTCAAATTAAATTTCAAAATTCAAAAATAACATATGTTAAAAGAACATAAGTTATTATGTAAAGAACATATAATTTATACCCAAAGAACACATTTATCAAATTCAAAGAACAAACGATAATAAATAAATAAAAAAAATAGAATTTGTGCGTCACTCATCAACTCAAAGAACATATGAGCTAAATTCAAAGAACATACGAGCCAAATTCAAATAACATACTTTTTGATTAGGGGAATTTGCTCCTACCAATCGGAATGCGCCACGTGGACCAATCATGTCCTGCCAAGTGTCCCCTAGTTGGAACTGTCAGGGCTTGCCACGTGGCACGCGCTTATTCGTCCACCTTGGACCTGTTATGTCACGACATGTGGCATACTCCATGCCTAATGGAGAAACCGGCCACCCAGGCCCAATTTCCGAGGGAAGCCCAATCGGCCCTAGGTTTACCTAAACCTAGGATGGGCACGCTTCCCAAGGTTATAAATACCTCCCTTAATCCTCATTAAGGAGGAGGACAAGAAGTTTACGAAAAACATTACGGAACAAACACATTAATTACACACAGTAATAACCGGCTGATCTCGCTAACAAAGCAGATTACCTACGCTAATCACTCTCACCTAGAGAGACCTAATCACTTTAATTTCCGTATTAATTACTCCTTAATCACTTACTAACTTGACCGTTGGAGGCGGAGCTCACAGGAGTCTCCGTTATTTTGCAGGTACAGGCGTCCGGTTCCAGTCTCGGAATTGTAACTCTCCCGCAGGACATCAGAAAACCCCGAAACACTTTTTATTATTGAAACCCAAAAAACATGTTGAATTAAAATATATATTATGGTATGTTCTTTGTATAAAAGAACATATAAAAGAATATATTATCAAACATATATAGGTATGCTCTTTGTCAAATATAAATAAATATGTTCTTTATCAAACAACAATATGTTCGTTCCGCCTTCCGGGTACACCATGTGCATGATGCACCCTGGTGTACTGTCCTATTTTCAAATCTAGACAACACACAATCAACAATAAGTAAAATAAATGTAAAGGTGGCGGCTATACTTTAATATCATTTCCTTTTTTTATTTAGGAAAAATTCATGGGAATAATCCTACCTTTGCGCCGTTCGTTTTTTAATGGTCCCAGGTGACCAGTAGGCGGTTGAAGTGGTAATTTTTTTTAAGTTTATTTTACACGTGTTACCACGTAATTGGTCAAGAAATTAAGTTTTAATTTTAATTTTTTTTTAAGAAATGATAATTAGCAATTAACATTAATTACTTATTTTTAATAATTTTCTCATGAAAAAAAATAAAAAAAAAAACGAAAAATTAAAACCACTACCAGCCATCTCCCTGCCCCACTGTCGTCCCAGCCCCGAGCATCGCCGCGCCCTGACCGTCGTTCCAGCCCCCAGCATCGCCGCGCCCTGATCGTCGTCCCAGCCCCCATCATCGTCGCGCCCTGACCGTCGTCCTACACCGGCTGTTAGCCCCGCTCCGATCGCCACCTTTATTCCGGCACCTTCTGTCGCCTTAAACCACCAAATTTGTTTCCGAAATTAAGGATGGGAAGGAGAGGGGGCTGAAATCGAGGCCTGGGAAGAGCAAAGGGGCCGAAAATGGGGCGAGGGGAAGGGGAGGAGGCCGAAAAAGGGATAGGAGAAGGGGAGGGAGTCGAAAACGGGGCGGCGGAAGGGGAGGGAGGGAGGGATAGGGGGGCGGTGAACGTATTTTAGAGGGTGGTTGGTGGTTCAAGGGGTGGGAAAGGGTGTTGGCGGTTCAATGGGAAGGGGGAGGGTGGTCGGCATGGCCCTCCGTCGTTGGTGGGCAGGTAGCAGGGAAAGCTGGTGGTAGTGGGCAGCCGTGGAGGGTGCTTGGGCTGGTGGGATATTTCTTTTTTTTTTCACTTTTTTTTTTTTTTTTTTTTTTTTATGAAACAAGTAGTTTCTTAATTAATTAAGTATAATTTCTTAATTTTTTTTTATTTTTTTTTATTTTAGGCCAATTAAATTGCGACACGTGGCATGTAACTTGCTATATCAAGTTAAATAACCGGTTGGGACCATTAAAAAAGAATGGGGGGGTAAAGGTGGGATAATTAAAAAATAATCCAAAGGTGGGATTATTAAAAACAAACGGCGCAAAGGTGGGATTATTTCCATGATTTTTTCCTTTTATTTATTTATTTTATTTTTTTTTATTAATTTATTTATGAAGGAATGCTAATCTAGCTGATTTGTATTTACTTTTTTTATTTATTTTTTTGGAAGACTAGAAGTTACACTTACAGAATATTTAGCATTTACTATTTAGATTTAGGTCCTTATTGATTATATATGCTCATCAGTTGTACAAGTTTGAGTGGTCTAACATTATCTAAACTCCTTTAGTCTTCCATCAATTTGTTTCAATTGGATTAATCTAGGGAAATTTTTTTTTATAAATGCGATTATAACACAGGAAAAAAAAATGTGAAACAAGCAATGAAAATCAATTACTCAATTTTTAAAATCAACTAAAACTCAGCAATGATTTTATTTAAACACATATAAGTATATAACAAGCTAACTCAGCAATAAATTCGTAGAACAACAATCACTGACACACTTACAACAAGCTAAGTAATGAAAATGAATACACATACGCACACCATGCACTCAACACTAAGTATTTTCACTAACAGTCTAACATACACTGAATTAAAGACACAATTTGTAATCTTGACATAATCAAAAGAAAATCAAGAGTAAATTCTTAATTTCATACTAATGTAAAGTATTGAATCATCGAGCCCAGGAACTGCTCCTTCGAGTTAATGAAAGAAAATCAAAAGTAAATTCTTAATTTCGTAATGACTCGAACCATTTTGGTTTCGTCGTCTTTGCAAGAAAAGGGTGCTTCAAGAGATCACTTGCCAGGGTCTCTTAGACGCCTTAGCCAGACACTTTTCAATGAACTTCCTAACCATTCTGTCTTGCACAAGGTACAGAGCAACCGGCTTAACACCCAACTTAATCTTTGCAAAAAGTTCATATTCTGATCTGTATTCGCTGTACACAGCTTCCTTAGTCATCATCTGTAGCACACACATCCCGAACGAGTATATATCACTCTTCTCATTCTGTTCACTGTCTAAATCCTCTGCTGACAAGTATGCGAGTGTACCAGCAACATTATCAGTTTTTCCTTCTTAAGGTACCGCGACACCAAAATCTGCTAGCTTAATCTTGCCCGAGACCCATCAATTAAGATGTTGTCACCCTAAACATCGCGGTGTATAATCACCGGTGTACGGTTCTGAAGATACTCTAACGCGCTTAGAATCTGCCTACGCCAACTCTTGATTGCAGTAACATTACCAACAAGTTCATGTGACCTTCTGTAATTACTCAAACTCTTAGAAGTAGCAAGATCAGTAATCATATTAATGAATCTACGATCTTTACTGATCCAATAACAATAACACTTGATTATATTCCCGTGTTTTGTAACGTTCGCAACAATTGAGGTTCTCCTAGGGGTGGGATTTCGGTCTGGCAGTTCGGTTTGACCTCAGTTTGAAACGGTTTCGGTTTGAAACGGTTCGGGTTAAAACGGTTTCATTTAGACGGCGGGTCGGTTCAGTTCGGTTTTGATTAGTCACAGGTCGGTTCGATTTCGGTTTATTTTTGTACGATTTAAATTCGGTTCGGGTCATAAACGGTTCGGTTTATAAACAGTTCGGGTCATAATCAGATCGGTTAGAAACGGGTCGCTTCAGGGGCGGATTTACTCGGGTCAATGCCGGTTCGGTTTTTAAACGGTTCGGTTAATAATCGGGTCGGTTTGAAACAGGTTGGTTCAGGGGCGGGTTTACTCGGGTCAATGCCCGTTCGGTTTATAAACGGTTCGGGTCATGATCTGACCGGTTTGAAACGGATCGGTTCAGGGGCGGTTTTACCGGGTCAACGTCGGTCCGGGTTCATATCGGTTCGGGTCATGAACGGATTATTTTGAAATGGGTCGGTTCAGGGGCGGGTTTACCCAGGTTAATGCTAGTTCGATTCATATCGGTTCGGTTTATACTCGGTTTGGTGCTAAAATCGTTCGGGTTAGTTTGGTAATCGGTTAAATTGGATCGGGTTGAAATCGAGTTCTAAAAAGTGGTTTTGACCAGTTAGTGCGTTTTGTTTTATATCAAGTTGGGACTAGTATTTCCATTTCATTAGCGGGTCGACATAGGTTGGTGAAAAAAATAATGGATCGAGTAGAAATTGGGTTTTAAGAGATTTTTGACCGGTTAGCTATTTTCGTTTTATATAAAGTTGGGATTTCGTCACTTTATTTTCAGACATCGGATTATATACAATTACACAAATCTTCATTTATTCAATTATTCTATATCATGTTAATATGTTATGTTTCAAGTTTGGTTATACTCTTGTTGTTGTTTATTCGATATTATCATATTAGTCTATTACAAATTTATAATGTATTAATGTATTATTGTTTCATTATTAAATATATATTATTAGGTTATCAGCTTCTTGTTGGATTGTTTTAGATATCGTGTCATGACCATGTTTTGATGAGTTGCTACTTTGAATACGATAAATCGATTCAGATATCAGATTATATAGAATTACAGAAATTCTCATTCATTCTATATCATGTTAATGTGTTATGTTTCAAATTTGGTTATAGTCTTGTTGTTGTTTATTAAATATTAGTCTATTACAAATTTATAAGGTATTAATGTATTATTGTTTCATTATCAAATATTATCAGGCTATCAGCTTCTTGTTTTAATTGTTTTAAAGATCGCGTCATAACCATGATTTGATGAATTGGTACTTTGAATATGATAAATCGATAATTGATATTGTAATAAACTAATAATTTAATGTTACGGAACTATATTTGGATGTTTAATTAAAATCACGATTATTCAATTTCCCATTAGTCTAATAAAGTAATAATTGACAATTGTTTGTAACTATTCCATAATTTTGGTGTTAAAGTTATATTGTTGAATTACTTTGTTGTCTTACCCTCTCTAATCACCTTTTAAGATTACGTGCCTACAAGGCTGCAACATATATATGTTGCACCTTGCAAGTTAAAGAAAACGGGTGGGGAAGTAGAAGTATTCAATTAGATCGATCATCAACTGTTTTAAGTTTTAATAATCAGATACATTTATCGATTATCTATACATACCAATGATAGTATGATACCAATCGTACCATACATTATTATTTATTACATATACTGATATACATATAACTAATATACATTAAATATGTCATATTGAATCAATTCCAATTTCCAAACATTTGTGTTTCTTACAATTTATAAGTTACATAAAGTTAAGAGTACAGTAGTGTTTTTATTAGTACGTAGCTATGAAAAAAAAAACATACTATCCAAATCCATTATCCCATGACCCGTGTCACCGTCTTATATTAAATATCAGCCATTGATTTGCATGTCATCTAACGGCCTATCATCGCACACATTCCAATTCACGATCCGTGTGTTTTCTTTTCCACCAATCAGATCACTCTTACCATCGTCTCTTTAGTATTCTTTTTTATTTCTCTCTCGTTTTCTTAATCCTCTTCTGTAATATTATCAATTTTTTGAAGCCATGGCTGCTAATATGCTCACTGCTCTCTCGTTTTCTCTCTCATCTCCTCTTCCTTCTTCCTTTCTTCTTCTTCCTTCTTCTCCCTTCTTCCGTCTATGTTCTCCTTTCTTCCATCTCGTTTCTCTGTCTCCGTCCACCGGCACCACGCACGACGGTTTTTATGGTCAAATTCGACCACGAAACTCTAGATCTAGTTGTTTCATGATCGAATTTGGCCTTTTAAAACCAAATTCGAGGCCAAATTCAGAATTAATATATAAGGGGTTTTCGTTCTTCCTTTTTTTATTTTTTGTTTTTCTTTTTAATTTTTTTTCAAGTTGTGGGAAACGGAGGGGGCCGAGTTAGGGTGGGTGCGGTGGCGGTTAGACTGGGTTCGGGTGGGTGGGGAGGGAGAATTTTTCGAGGGAGGGAGGGAGTTTTATGGTGGGTGAGCAATTAGAGTGAGTTGGGGGGTTTCGAGGATGTTGGGTTTCGTGGGGGTGGGTGGGGTGGGGTTACAGTGGGTTTGGGTTTTTTTTTCGATTTTTTTGTATGGGGTGGGGTGGGGTGTGTTACGGTGACGGTGGTGGGTGTGGTTGGGGTTTGGTCTGGGTTTTTTTTTTTTTTTTTTTTTTTTTTACAGTGACGGTGGTGGGTGGGGTGGGGTGGGGTTTGTTAAGGGGGTGGGGTGGGGTACGTTACGGTGATGGTGGTAGGTGGGGTGGGGTATGGGTCTGGGTTTTTATTATTTACGGTGACGGTGGTGGATGGGGTGGGTAAGGTTTGGGTCTGGGTTTTTTTATTTACGGTGGGTGGTGGGGTGGGGTGGGGTGGGTTACGGTAATTATGGTGGGTGCGGGGGTGGTGTTAGGGTGGGTCTGGGTTGACGTTGGTGGGGTGGGGGTGGGTTACGGTGGTGGGTGGGTGGTGGGTGGTTGGATTGGGTGGGTGGCCAAATTTTTTCATTTTTTTATTTAATTTATAACTCCTAATTTAGTTATACAAGAATATAATTTTAATTTTATAATAGCAAAAAAATTTACAAATTTAAATCAATAATTATATGTAAAAAAAATTGTATTGTTAAATTACATTAAACATCAAATATATTTCGTGGACTTCTAACAAATTGTTAAAGGCTGTAAATAGTTCAATTTGAATGGAACGGGTTGTAAACGGTTCGGTTTAAATAGTTTGTAATCGGATCGGTTTAAACGGGTTGCGGTTTGAAAATAGTTCGGTTTAAACGGTTTGATGGGTTATAACAGTTCGCTTTAAACGGTTAGCGGGTTGTAAATGGTTCGATTTAAACGGGTTTTTCCTACGGTTTAAACGATTTCGGTTTATAAACGGTTCGGTTTAAACAGTTAGCGGGTTAACATTAATCGGTTCAAATGGTTTCGGTTTATAAACGGTTTGGTTTGTTATTGGTTTACGGCTCGTAACGGGTTAACATTAATTGGTTCGGTTTGGTTTCGGTTTGACATTATACGATTCAGTTTGGTTTTCGGTTTAAAATTAGCGGGTTATAAACGGTTCGGTCCGTGATGGTTCGGTTCGGTAACGGACGGTTTCACGGTTCGGTTTGAAAAGTCCCACCCCTAGGTTCTCCACAACAATTTTCAATTCTTCCATTTTCCTCTAAGTCTGCTTCTGTCACCATAATCTTGTCCCAAGCAACTAGTACACCATTAAATGTATCCAGCGCCTCGTAAACTATCTTCGATCTCCCTTTTCCTACGACTACATTGTACCTTATGAATTGCCTTGACGGACTTCTCTCCCTAACTTTACAAGTATTGGCTCGTGAACTCGAACCCACTTCAATAATATCAGGATTCTTTCCCAATGAAATCGGACCTTTAGTTATTTTATTCGTGAACTCGAAGCCATTAGTATTAACAACAACAAAGAATTGAAGAACCCAAGAAAGATCGCTTACGATTAAATGTTGATGAAAGTAGTTTTGTAAAAACAGAACACTTGAAAATTTATTATTGAAAGGATGATTGCTATATCAGAATTATATTCTTGGAGCAAATGATTTAATAATGAAATGAAGGTATGATTTTGTAGGATAAACAGAGAATTCTTGGAACAAATGCTTTATAATGGATTGCGGTTCTGGAAGAAAACCAGCTGAAGGAAGGGCGGCCCCACTCTGTGAAATAAAGTGGACGTACATAAATAATAAGGCTGGTTATGGCCTTTACTTTCTAGGGCTCCTTTCCATCTATCTTGACCGGGAAGAGGGGGGCCCTTGCGGAAGCCCTGTCGGCCCTTTTCTATTTTGAGAGATCCCTTCAATATATATTGAGGATTCCAGGCTTTCCTGACTCGTAACAGACGGCTATAGGAACAAGAAGAGGCAGCGGAAGCCATTGCAGGTCCTTCTCTTTCCACTGAAACGACCCTCTTTTGTTTTGTTTGTTCACCACGAGCTAGAATGACTTTCAGAAAGAGAGTGGTGCCTAGTCGTTGAGAGCTTTTGTTCTCTTTGTAGAGGAACAGTACGATCTTGAACTAGCCCCCTTCGCATAATCTAGAAAGAAAAAGAAGTCTTTGCTACTATAAGGCCTCTAAACTCCTCCCTCAGGACACTGTTGTGTTGTCCATGGCGATGGGGTAGCCTCGACTTCCATAGGTCCTTGTTTCGATCTCCTAATGAGAATGGAGGTCCTTGCGCGGGCGTCTCATCCTTAACCTAAGACTTGCTTGCTCTGGTATGGAGTGCCCCGTGGTTTCTTAAGTGCCACCCGCAGAGAGGAATGCCGTCAACTAGGGCGCTATTGGCCACTAGCCACTCGCTCGCTGG